CGGATCACTTTTTCTACTTATTCTGTAGAAATCAGTATGTTTATAGTTCCTGTGACCATTCCTCATGTTGTCAGCATAAGAGTGTTACTCTCAATAGCATTTTGCAGGGAAGGGGATAACCAGTAACCACTGTGTGCCGAGTCCTGCTCCTACCCGACTTGTTTCACTGGCTGTGCTGAGTTGTTGCAACAGGGGCTGTGGGTGCCCCACCCCGCTCCTCACCGCCCCGGGCCCCCTCCCCAGGGGTGGGAGCAGGCTGCACCTTCTCTCACAGCAGGGTGCCTCCGTGGTGCCCAGCACATCCCAGAGTTTTCCATCAGATCAGCCTGAAACCAGACACCAGTGACACCTCCTCTTTGCCTCGCTTCGTCTCCCTTCTTAGCCTGTTTCTGTGATTATCTTCCACGCTCCTCCTGAGAAAACACTCTCAATAAATCACTGCCCAGGAATCGCTGACTCAGCCGCTGCTTCTGGGGAGCCCGGGCGCAAGCTCCGTCCCCCTCGGTCTCTCTCTCCTCCTCTCGTGGTAGTGACATGCTGTGTGCGTCACTTACCACTATTTATCACACAGTATCTCACCTGTACACATTTCCGTCTGTGTGGTTTCCCCAGACTCATGCCAAACCCTGTGCAGGACCGGACTGTGCCTGAGCCCCTCCGCGTCTCCTGTTACTCAGCATGGTGCTGGCCCCTCGGCGGTGGCGTCACGAGAGCGAATAAACAGTGCGTTTCGTGGGCCACAAAATTGCCATGAACATGGCAGCGCCTGGAGTGAAGCGGGGCGAGGGTTAATGAGGGGTGAAGGGAAAGCGTTTCCCTTCCCAACCGCCCTCGTTCCCACAGAGTCCGAGGAGGAGAAGCAGACCGGCCCTCGGGAGGCAGCGCCGGCTCTCAGATGCTGTCTGGGAGAAGTCACGGCACAGGTGCGCCAGACATCTGCATACTGGAAGGCGTTAGGAAACGAGAAATGTTCTTTCCAGTACTCTAAACACCTGCTTTAATTAAGCTGGAATCTGCAAAACGATTTCTCCATCAACGTGGCTGCCTCACTGGCTGTTTCTCAACAGTGTCCCCTGAGAACCATTTCCGTTAGAACGTGGCTCCCTGTGGAACGAGGTACTGTGGACAAATGACCCTCAGGTCCCCTCCAGGGCCCTCCCAGGGAGCTGCTGGGAAAGGGCTGGACCCTGTGGAAAGGAAAGAGCTGGCCCGTCCTGGGGAAGAAGTCACAAGGGGGTCGATGTATTCTGTTCTCACTTGTCTTAAAGCAGCATAGCTCATGGCGGTCAATTTGTGACCAGAACATAGAGGAGTGACCAGTCGCTTCCTGAGGTCTCCATGCAGCCAGACCTCAGCAGAGAGCGGTCAGCGATGAGCAACCTGATACTCACCCCAGGCAGTTTTCAGGGCCACAGAAATGGAGACCGAGGAAGGAGGGACCTGGACAGACGCAAAGCAACACTGCAGCTCTCGTCCATCTGCCCGGCGGTCTAGCCTCGCCCGTGGTGGGCCAGCCCTCCAGCACCACCAAGCGATCAGACGTCGGCTGCATCCCCTTCTCCCCATTCTTCGTCACTGCCCACCCCACCCCGTCACTTGCAGTGCTCAGTGTCCCCTCTTCCTCTCTCCTGGCCGGCAATCGGCTGCGTGGAGCGGGAGTGTGCCGGGAGCCTGCAGGCTGCAGAACTAAGTTCTCCAGGTAGAACTTTCAACTCAGAGCAACACGTACATATAAAGAACTTACCACCTGCCCAGCACAGCCTGGCGTTTGGAGAAGTGAATTTTGTTTAAAACGGAAGGTTCCCTCCAGCGTGTGCTTGCTTCACATCACCTCTTTAGAGAAAGGGCCCGTACACCCCTTACTGCAGGGCTCACGGAGTGGGCAGGACCGGCTGCTAAGCTGTCACCTGCGTACTGACCACACGCAGCCCCAGCAGGCCACAGACGTCTGCTAAGAGGCACAACTGGCTAAGGGTGTCCGGCCCCATTCTCTCAATATCTCGTGGCAGCACCTGAAAAATCGAGCTTGTCACTTATTCAGAACACTGGCTGGTTGTTCCAGGCGATCCACCTAATCACATGGACTCTCCAGGGAACCCCTTTCTGGAATAGTTTTTTGGAAATTCTGGTTCCTACGTGAAGAGATAATACAGGTATGCTTGCGACCATCAGGCCCTCAAGTCAGGAGAAAAAAGGAATTTCGTGGTCTTCTAGGGTCTCCCTCAACACGGGCAATCAACATCTCATTTTTAAGGCACAGAGTCTGGGTTGGTTCTTTTGTTTGTTTTCCATTCTTGCAGAGAACATTCTTTTTGTTGACAAAATTTCTTTGATTTCAAACAAAATGAACACTGTACTGCCCTGGCTCAGTAGGTTGGAGCATTGTCCCATGCACCAAAAGTTTGTGGGTTCGATTCCCAGTTGGGGCATAAGCCTAGGTTTGGGGGTTCAATCCCCAGTCAGGGTGTGTATGGGAGGCAGCCGATCGATGTTTCTCACATGGATGTTTCTCTCTCCCTTCCTCTCTCTATCCTTGGATGAGGATTTTTTTTTTTTTTAATGAGCACTGTCCTATGAAGAGTAACTTGTGCAGCCTATATTGCTTGAGGGACTCATCAGCTCCTGCCCTCAGAGTTGATCCTACAGCCAGAAAAGGGGAAATGCTGAGACCAAGAGAGGGGTAACAGGGGGTCCCCAGGCAGCAGCCGTCACTGCCCCCTCCTGTGGCTGGGAACCTGGGCTCAGAGACTCAGAAAACTTCCCCATTCGTGACTCTGACCTCAAAACTCCCTGCTCTTACTATATATAAAGCACGTTAAAGATAATAACAATGGCCCAGCCCATGTGGCTCAGTGGATTGAGCATTTTCCCATGGACTGAGAGGTCCCAGTTCAATTCTTGGTCAGGGCACATGCCCTGGTTGAGGGCTCGAGCCCGGGTAGGAGGCGTGCAGGAGGCAGCCATTGATGTTTTTCTCTCATATTGACGTTTCTATCTCTCTCTCCCTTCCTCTCTCTCTGAAAAAGCAATCAAAAAATATATTTTAAAAAAATAATAATAGCCCTGGCCAGTTTGGCTCAGCGGTTGGAGCATCAGCCCACAGTCCAGAGAGTCCCAGGTTCGGTTCCCACTAAGGGCATGTACCTCGGTTGCAGTTTGTCCCCGGCCCCGGTTGGGGTCGTGTAGGTGGCAGCCAGTCAATGTGTCTCTTTGCATCGATGTTTCTCTCTCTCCCTCTCCCCCTCCTGCTCTAGCTGAAAATAAATGCAAAAATGTCCTCGGGTAAGGATAAAAAAATAAAATAATAATAATAATAGCAACGATAACTGGGGTGCTCTGTGAGTTTGTCGGAGACTGGGCCCCCTGGAGCTGGTTGATTCTCTCTGTTGGTCAGATGTGATGACCACAGCAGACAGAGGCCTCGTTCCCATGAAACACGCCGTGCTGGGTGAGCGGGGCCCAGGGAACAGCTGCACCCCCCTAAAGAGAGGAGGCAGGAAATGGTGCAGGGCCGCCACCGCCTGGGCCCCAGGTGGCGCTGTAGGGATCGGCCTCCAGAATGGAAAGTGGGGATGGAACGGGAGGCGTCACCACCTGCAGCTTGTCCCCCGCTGTCCTGTGGCTCTTTAGGGAAAGTGGAAAGCCTGTGAGCTGAATCAGAGAACTCAGCACATTCTCGCTGCTACGGTGGCATGTCACGCTGTGTTCTGTCCCTGGGTGTCAGTGCGAGTCTCAGACATTGCTCCAGATACACAGCCCCAGAGACAGCCCAGGCCCAGGCCAGCGTCCTGGGGGACATGGCTGCAGGCTCAGCAAAGACCCCAAGTCTGTGCTGGGCCAAGGGAGGGATCCGAACCCAGCAGAAACCCTGCAGTTCTGGAAGGGGACACACTTGGCCTGGCATCCCGCTGTCACTACCGTGGTCCGTTGGCCTGCTCACCTCTCCAGATGGCCCTTGAGGCCCAGGCCGCACCTCTCACAGTGCTCTTGGGACACAGAAGGCTGAGCGTGTGACACACCTCCACGTCTTTGGGACCATGAGCCTGGACTTCCAGAGTCAGAAGTCTGCTTAAGTCCAGGCAAAGCCCCAGTAAGAGTGTAAGTCCAAAAAGCAAGTGTCTATGAGTAGGAAGCACTCGCTGGGTCCCAAGTGACAGAGATGGGTGTTTGGGGAGGCCAGCACCTGGCCCAGGTCATCACAGGGTTACTGGTGGCTCTAAGGGACAGGGGGCTTTATGTAGGCTGGTGAAGTGAGTCATGACCTGTGGGGTCTCGAGTCTGCAAAGGAATGTTGCCTGGAGCCTGGGTGGCCTCAGGGGCAAAACCGGGATGGACAGGAGGGGTGGAGGGAGCCCAAGCATGGCCTGTTCGGGCAGAATCGCCTCCTGTCTTGGCCTCCACCCTGTCCTGTGCACGTTCCCATCAGCAAGTCTTTCCATTAAGATACGATTCTCAACCTCAGCACCAGGGCAGGCGGTGGTCGGATTTCTCGAGTCACTTGGTAATCGGCACGAGGCCAGGCGGGAGGCTCTGTGCTCTTTGGAACTGCAGCCCCAAACCCAGAGCTGCCAGCTCGTCTCCCTCTAGCTCGAGGGCGGCAGAGGCCCTGTGCCACTTGTTTGCGGCAGGTCACTGCACTGCCCCCGCCTTCTCTTCCTGCTGTACAAATGGGTCCGTCAAACAGAGACACCGGGTGCCCCTGCTGACCCTGGGTACTGAGTTCTGGAAACAAGTACCCTCCCTGGCGGAGCCACCCTGAAGCTAGGTGGGCACAGGGCCGCCCCAGCACCGCCGAGACCCGCCTCGCAGCAGCTGTGTGGCGGCCCTGCCCTGTGCTGTCTGCCGTGCACTACAGTGAGCATGGAGGCCCACCGCGTGGACAAGCCGGGGCCTAGGCAGCGGGCCCCTGGGTGGGATGAGGCAGGAGGGGAGGAGAGCGGGGTCGCTGTGCTGGTGCAGGCAGCGCTCGGTGTTCTGACTGGCGCCTTCTCTGCCCCTAGGCCTGGACGCCAGGCAAGCACAGGTCGTCGTGCTGTCCTCGGGGACCAAGTGCATCAGTGGCGAGTACATCAGCGACCAGGGGCTGGTGGTCAATGACTGCCACGCGGAGATCGTGGCCCGGAGAGCGCTGCTCCACTTCCTGTACGCACAGCTGGAGCTGCACCTCAGGTGAGCCGCCGTCCCCGGGACGAGCGCTCTGGCCACGAGCTCGGAGCTGGTGACCCACGGCCAGCACCAGGGTCATTCCCTGTATCCGGGCGTGGTGCACAGGGTGCCCCTACTGCACACGTTTCACCCAGGTGGGTGGCATCTTTCAAGCATCAGTGATGTAGGAGCACAGGCTGGGAAAGTGTTGGAATTGCAGGCACCTCCCCCACGATTCTCAGGCCTCCTTCCAGGAAAAAGCTGCAAGGTGCACATCCCCCCACACAGGCGCCCACACGTACAAACATGCCTGGTCACACACCATTCCACTGACGACATCTTCTACTAAAACATTCGGGTGTCGCCACTCAGGCCACTGCAACAGAACACACAGCCTGGGGGCTGGATCTCCGGTGGCTCAGCCTGGAGGCTGGAAGGCCGAGGTCAAGGTGCCGGCAGATTCCATGTCTGCTCAGGACCCTCTTCCTGGTTTATAGACGGTGACTTCTTGCTGGGTCCTCACCTGCAGAGGTGAGGGAGCTCTCTGGGGTCTCTTTTATAAGGACACTAACCCCATTATGACCTAGTAAGGACACTAACCCCATTATGACCAAGGCCTCCACCCTCGTGACCTCATCACCTCCCAGAGGCCCCACCTCTTAATGTCAGCAAATGCATTTGTGGGGACACAAACGTTCAGTGAGTAGCAAGGGTCTCTAAAGGGGAGCTTTGGGGATGACGACGACAGCACACCACTGTAAAGACCCAGGCAGCTGGTGCGATTCTCTCTCCATGAGGCCAGAATGTGTGCAGGGTCAAGGGCCCCGTTCAAAAACAGAGGGGGACCGTGGCCCCCCTGAGCTCCCTACGCTGTCAACTCCCTCAGGGTGACTCACCTGTGCACTCACACTCTGAACCCACACACAAGAAGGCCAAGGGAACTGCAGGGCTGCCTAGAGGGGTGCAGAGGGCTCCTTAAAGGGAGAACTCCCCTCCCCAGCTCTGGCTTAAGCTGCCCGTTTCCTGTGGGTTAAGTGAAGGTAATACTCTTCCCACCACCAGCCTCCAGTTGCTATCCCAGAACTAGCCTTGCATTTTAAAAAGAGAGAAAAGCCCTGGCCAGTTTGGCTCAGCGGTTAGAGCATCAGCCCGCAGACTGAAGAGTCATGGGTTCGATTCTGGTCAAGGACACATAACGTACCTTGGTTGCAGTTTGGTCCCGGGCCTGGTGGGGGTCATGCGGGAGGCAACCAACTGATGTGTCCCTCTCACATCAATGTTTCTCTCTATCTCCCTCCCATTCTATCTGAAAAAAAAAAAAAAATGGAAACACATCCTTGGGTGAGGATTAAAAAAAAATTATAAAAAGGAAACCTCACAGAGAAGCCCGTCTCTGGGAGACGCTGCCCCTCCTTGAAACACAGAGTGGCAGCGAGGGAGCTGAGCGCGGGGACCCTGCTCCTGACCTGGCCCGCTCCCCGCGCCCTGGCCCACTGCGTCCCAGCACACACGGTGCCTGTGCCATCGGCACCCGGCTCCATCTTGACAAAGTTGTGCTGTCTTCCAAGGGGACCCACTTTGAGGACTGTCCAGCACTTGCACCTGTGACCCGCAGGAAAGCGAGGGATTGCTGTGCACCTCCTTCTGCCCTTGTCGGGGTCCTCTTCTGACAATTTCTCACCAAGGACACGTCTTACAGAGCATGGGTGTCTTCTGCAAGGCAGCCTGCCCTTCCTTCCGTTCCCCTTCCCAGGCCTCCCCCATCCCGGGCCACAGGGCTGAAATGCCACCAGCCTAGCCAGGCCGACCCCATGACCCAGCCGGCAGCTCTGAAGCATGGGCCAGGCTCCACTTCAGCCCTGCCCTGCACCCCGCAGCCCGCACTGCCCAGACCTCTCGCCGGCGGTGGACTTCAGATACTGTTTCCCGCCTGCTGCTCCTCTGAGCATGTCTTCCGAGGAGTGTTCTCAACGCAGGGGGCTGTCCAGACCCTGAGAAATGTGCTCCCAATGGGATGTCCCGTGTTCTCGGGCAACCTGTCGGGGCCGCCAGGACGAAGCAGGCCGTCACCCACCCTGGCATCTCCACGATCCAGAGGAGGAGAGCTGCAGGTGGACGTGGGCTCCTAGGCGTCCAGACCAGCCCTGGCCCAGCTGTGTGATCACAGTGACCTCATGGCCACGTCTTGACCAGAAAGGCTTCCTCCTTGCCTCTCCCAGCTACTTCCACATCCTCTGCAGCAGCGTTTCTCCAGCCTACAGACAGGGGGCGTCGGGGGCTTCAGGGAGTGACTCTTGCGTGCTGCTGGTGTGCGCGGCAGCTGTTCAGGGGCAGGAAGGCCCAGAGGCACACGGGGGACCCACAGGGAAGCAATGCCTGACCCCTAAGCGCTGAGCTCCAGCCCTGCTGAGGGGGAGGCCAGAGCTGGAAATCTCTCCAAACACGGGGGTTTCTCCTAAATCTCCAAGCACTCCATCAGAAATACTTTCAAATACCCCTAAATTTTCTGTGTCACGGGAGGCTCAGGACCAGCACTGACCCTGTGCTGGCGCCAAGCCGCTGGCTGGGAGGAGTGGGCCCTGCCCCGGGGGGCGAGCAGTGGCTGAGGAAAGCCAGCCAGGGCAGCCAGTCCCGCACAGACACCCAGCAGGCCAGGCTCTGCATTTGCTCCGAGGTTGGGGCGCGTGTGGAGACACTGAGGGGGCCTGGCAGCGGAAGGAGCAGAGGCAAGGAAGCAGAAAGGCTGGTGGGATGCCTCTAGGGTTTCCTGGGGAGAAAATGTCTGTTCTGCTGCCTGTGTGATCTCAGAACCCGCAGAACAGAATCCATCACCAATGGGGCAGAACGTGGAGAAACAGCCAGAGCGGCAGAAAGCAGAGTGCCTGTGCCTAGTGAGACGGAGGCCGGGAGGGGGGCAGCCGGCGGCTCCGTGCCTGCGGGGCTCAGCCCCTCGGAGGGGGTGGGAGGGTGATGGCTGTGGGAGAAGCCCAAGGGCAAAGGGTGCCCTTCAAAGCCTGGAGGGCCTCTCCGAGCATTTCCCTGGTCATGCTGGGCGCAGAAGAAAGCGGTCTGTGCCCTGGGTTCCTCTGGCTGGGGGCCAAGCCCTGCCTCCTTTCAGAGTTCTTTTCCGCCTGTGAATACAGAATCACGGTGCCCATGGAGGCCACGCAAAACCCACAGTGCCCGCAAGGCAGCGCCTTGGGGCGCCTGTGAACCCTCAGGGTTACACTTTCATAGACACTTAGATCCCAGGGAACGTCAGCTGAGAAAGATTCGGGCTCTGGGAAAGATCAGCCCGAATGTGAGTGTGGGAGGAGGGTGACAGGTGGGGTTTCTGCTGTGTGTGCGCCTGTACATGGTTTCACCTGTTCTGGAGGGTCCCCTGCAAGGGTGAAGAGGAAAAACCCGGCGCCTGCCGATCAGGACGTGTCCGGTCTGGTCCCCAGTAGTGACCGCAGCCTCTTTCTGCCCCCAGCAAGCGGCGGGAGGACTCGGAGCGCTCCATCTTCGTGCGGGTGAAGGACGGAGGCTACAGGCTGAGGGACAACACTCAGTTCCACCTGTACGTGAGCACGTCCCCCTGCGGAGACGCCCGCCTCAACTCGCCCTACGAGATCACCTCGGACCGTAAGAGACGGCGTTGTTCCCTGTTAACCAGCCCCATGCTCTCCTCGGTCTGGGCCTTGGTCCCAGGCTGTGGGGCCCCAGACCCCGCGTGTGTGCTGTGGCCCGGCCCCAGACGCTGGGCACAGAGGGTGTCTGCCGTTCTGTGTAGTCATCCCTCTCGAATATCTGTCTGAGAGCCGGGTCAGGGAGAAGAATGGTGTGAAATGTAAAAGTAGCTATTTCATGGCACCGGTCCCCACCCCCCTCAATGGTCAGAAACCCCCTGCCCGGGCGGAGTTGGGGATGGAGGACGGGCCAGAGTGACATGGTGTGGCAGTTGAGTTACTTTGTTTGCCGTCTTTGAGAGAACAAAATTCAGTGTTTTAACAAAGCTTGATGCCAGGTAGACAATTCCCCCAGGTAGCTGGCGTCACCCACAGAGCTCCGTGCTGAACCCCCTCACCAGACCTGCCCTCGGGGAGCTGGTCAGAGCACAGCATTACCTCCAGCCCCGCAGAGGGGGCGCTGTGTGCTCCAGAATGAGGATATCGTGGGGTCTCCGTGTGAGTCTGATGGGCATTGTCTCCACGTGTAATGACGTGTGCAGCCAAGAAAGTCTGTTACTGATACTATGTGTGCATATCGTACACATACTTTTGCATACACACCACACACATGCACTCACACCCTCCCAGAAACCGCACAGGGCAGCTCTCCTGATGTAGGCCCCGCCTTTAAATGTATGTATGTGGTGAGGGGTCTGGTCTTAATGAAGGGTGGAGGCACCCGAGTCTCAGTCCTGTGCTCAAAGGAACCTATGGTAGAAACACACAGATGATACAGTTACTGGAGGTTTATTTTTGGCCTCTGACTCCCCACAGAAGGCTACATTTGTGTCCTAGTAACCACGGGAAGGAAAGACCGCTGTGTGCTGGATGCCTGCTGTGTCCCAGGCTTGTGAAGAGTGCTCTCCTCCGAGATAAAGAATGTACACCCTGGCCAGTAGTTCACTTGGTTGGAGCATCATCCTGTACACCAAAACGTGGAGGGTTCGATTCCCAGTCAGGGCACACATCCAGGTTGTGGGTTCGATCCTCGGTCAGGGCTCATACAGGAGGCAGCCGATTGATGTTTCTCTCTCACATTGATGTTTTTCCTCTCTCTCCCTCCCAAACTCTCTCCCCCTCTAAAAATCAATGAAAACATAGCCTCATGTGAGGATTTTGCCCTGGCCGGTTTGGCTCAGTGGATAGAGCGTCATGTACAAAGCAGCCAATCGACATGTGTGTGTGTCTCTCTCTCCCACTCTATCTGAACATGAATGGAAAAAAGGTCCTAGGGTGAGGATTAAAAAAAATAAATTAAAAAAAAAACGAGAAAAAGATAAGGTGCAGGGAAATGGCGTTTAGTCCTACAGGTTTTTTATTTTACTTTCAGTCCTACATGCATTTAGCCTATTTCCCTAGCACTCGGGTGGGATACTGGTCCAGAAACAGGCATTCTGCCTTTTTGCCGAATTTCCTCCAAGCTCACTGCTCTGCCTTTGCAGCAGGCTAGACAGACCTCTCCGCGTCGGGATTTCCAGTGGCGCGTCAGTACTGTCTCAGTCCGCGCGGGCTGCCAGCGCAGACCCCCGCAGACCGGGCTGCTTCCGCAGGCTTTCATCTCCCAGGCCTGGCGGCTGGAAGTCCGAGATCAAGGCACCAGCAGACTCGCTGTCTGGTGAGGACCCTCCTCCTGATTCATGGACGGCATCTACTTGCCGTGACCTCGCATAGTGGAGGGGGCAGGGGCTCCCTGGGTTCTCTTTATAAGGACATCGATCCCATTGCGAACCCTCCCTTCATGACTTCATCTGAACCAAATTACCTCCTCGGGACCCCACCGCCCGATACCATCTCCCTGGGGTTAGGGCTTCAACGTGAGAATTGGAGGAACAGACACATTCGGCCCATACAACACCCCATGGGAAGTAAATGGAGGAACCAAGTCTCACTGAGAATCTAGAGAATGGAATCCACTAAGGACTGGGGACCTTCCAAGGCACTGCCCGGGGTGAGGGGTTGGGTGGGCCTGGGCTGAGAGGAGGACACGGCCCTGTCTCTGCAGAGAGTCCCACCAGCGGGGCCTGCTGGAGTCGCTGCCACCCCATCTCAGAAAGACAGAGGAAAAAACAACAGAGTTCCTCAGACCCAGTCCACGTGATCCCAACCCCCACATAAAACTGTGAAATGGGGTCCATATAGCTACTGGAATTGTCTTTACATTTTCACTCGGACGGTTTGGCATCATGAAGACCCAGATGAGGGGCCCTCAGTTTCGGGGGGGGGCCCCTGCAGATGTGTGGGACTGGCCCTAATTCATCCAGCTTCCTCCCAGCGGGAGCCCCAGTCATGCCTGCGCCCCACCCGTCTCTGCAGAGGCACAGTTCTGCTCATTGGGCTCCCGCCTCTGCACTTGGGGCACCACTGCAGCCTCCCCCGCCCTGACTCCAACTTGTAAAGCCGGGGGGTTAGAAAAACAAGACAGAGATGTCTCAGATGCACCCTGGGGTTTGCGTTCAGGCACAGATGTCTTTTATTTCATGGTGATTTTAAGAAGTGGCAGGTGCTGGTAAGGGGGGGGGGGGATTAAGCATTTTCCTCACATTTTGTCGGCAGATATGCCAGGCAAAAATGAGGTGCTGCACCCAAGTTATTGAGGCTGGCGTTCTCCCAATGCATCTTACTGGGGATGCTGAGGAGGGGCCCCTGGCCAGCTTGTCCTGCAGACTGTCCGCCAAGAGCCCTACCTCACCTTCCCGTACCCATTCAGTAAGGGCAGGAAACCCAAATCTCTGGTTGGAAGGGCCTCCCAGAGAAACTTCACTTTCCCCACACTCATGAAGGCACAGGCTCCAGAATAACTTTCACTTTGGAAAGAATCCGCTGATATGGAGGGTGGGGGCTCTGTGTGAGGCTCACTCGAGTGTTTCTCTCTGTTATTCTTTCAAGAGGGTTGGATGGCCAGGGAAGGGTATGCAGGTGACCAGGAGGGGCAGGAGCCATGGAGACATGCCCCACCTGCTGGGCCATTCCCAGAGGTCATGAGTCTGCCTTCTACAAGTGAACCCTGTAGAAACCCAGCCTCACTGCCCATCCACTCCGGGCCGTGCTCCTAAATGGAGCCCAAGGCACATGACCTGAGTCACAAATGCACAAATGCACAGCACAGACGTACATGCTCCTCCCCACCTTGAGGTCGTCACTGGTTCTGACGAGCTTGTCACAACCCGGGAGAAGTTCTAGCCCTGGAAGCTCCCAACTCCGGGCCACTCCGACGTCACCCTCTCTTCTCTCGGCAACACATGCCCTGGGCGGTCCCCAGTGAGCTCCTTTTATCCTCACACCCTCGTTTGGTCTGCAAGGAGCTGTTGCACATCTCTGCATGGCCACATCTGGCCCCATCACCTGCAACTGTGCCCGGACTCTCCTCCCCAGCTTCACACACACACACACACACCCAACAGGCACTTGACTCACCGAATGTGCAGATGCTCAGAACAGAGTTGTCCGGATTGCCCCCTTCCTTTAGAGTGAGGAAGGCAGAGCCAGCTCAGGAAGGAGTCTGCCGATACGTCTGAACAACTGTTGAAGCTACTGTCACATCCCAGACGTCCGGCAGAGAACAGAGGCTAGCGGATCTCTGAGCACCAACGCGGATTCCCGCCCGCAGCCGAGCGAGGGGGCCTCCCACAGGGGCCGCTCGGCCTCGGTGGTTCCCCAGCACGAAGGCCCGCAGGCTCTTGAGGCCAGGTCAGGGCTCTGCGTCCACGGGGCAGCACGAGCCCCAGTGTAACCCGGCCCACCTCCTCGGGCCCCTACGGCTCAAGAAATTCTAAACGTCCCACTTTTTTTTCTCTCCAAAAATTCATTTGGACAGACCATAAGTTCTCCCTCCCTGGACTCTTTACAAGTGGGATTGATACTTCCTGATCGGAGACGTCTGGGAGGCACGTGGCCTGGGAGCAGCTGTGGTTATCCCACACCTGGCTTATGTCAGGACCACCTGGGAAGTTTCTAAACACGCAGGCTCCTGCCACCTGCGCTTCCCCGAGATTCCGGTATGTTTGGGGTGGTGGGGCTCCAAGCTCCATACTTTCAGAACCTCCCCAGTGATGCGGAGGAGAAGGATCATGCAGGTTTGAGCAGCCGGATTCGAAAGCCCTCCTCTGCCCCTGCCTGACGGGGCGTGTGTCCCCTTCGGTGCCGTGGGGAGGTCTGCGTGCTGGGGCCTGCCGGGTCTCTGCAGAGGCAGGCAGACGTGCTGACAGGCAAGGCTTCCACCGGGGGGCCAGCGGCTCCGGCCACAGGCTCCACACTCGGAGGTCTTGGTCTGACCCACTCAGAGCGACTAGCAGGAGGAGGCCAGGCCCCTGGGTGGCTCCGGGAGACCTGGGCCAGACCCAAGGCAGCTCTGGTAAGAACCTGAACTGACCAGAGTGATGAAAGCTCTAGGGCACTTCCCCCAACTATTGTCCTCCCTCTAATTCACCGCTGTTCTTGCTGCAAAGTTCTCGGCATGTTCTTCAATAGCCCGGGAAACTCTGTTCTTACTGCCGTTCCCCAAGAACTTAACAGCTTAGTGGAATTCTCCAAACTATCTTTCACAACATGACATGAGAAAGAGCTCAGTTATGCCCTGGCCAGTTCGGCTCAGTGGCTAGAGTGTCAGCCCATGGACCCAAGGGTCGCAGGTTTGATTCTCTGTCAAGGGCACATACTTGGGTTTCAAGTTCAATCCCTGGTCCCGGTCAGGGTCATGCAGGAGGCAACCAATCAATGTGTCTTTCTCACATTTATGATCCCCCCCTCCTCCATTCTATCTAAACTAAATTAATGGGAAAATATCCTCAGGTGCGAATTTAAATAAATAAATAAATAAATAAATAAATAAATAAATAAATAAATAAATAAATCAGGAAAAATATCCTAGGTGAGAATTAACAACAACAAAAAAAGAAAGACCACAGTAATGTCATATCTTACAAGTGTGTGTTAACTGCCTAGGATGCCCTACTCCATTCATTGTACATTAGGGCAGTTCAGGAGTTAAGCCCAAATCCCATAAAAAGTCAAGGAACCTGAGATGCACTTCCTGAAGCCCCTGTCTTCAGATTTGCCTCCTGAGTTACAGAAACATGCGACGTGAGCCTGGGCATCGTAGGCTCGTAATTCACCATCGTCCCCATCGCTGTCTTCATCAAGTAAGGCAAGGAACACCCACACGGCCACATGACAGGGGCTGTAGATGTCATTAAAATAAACAGTAGTTTGCTTCACAGGCATACTTTCTGGAATATGCCTTTGGAAGATGAATTGAAGATTAAAAGTTTGTTGGGTGGTTGGGTGTTCAAAGTCATCTCCTTCATTCCCTATCCCTGCTCTCCCATTTCTGGCTCCTTTCCTCTCCCCTAGTGCCTTGCGGCAACCATGTGTCACTTTCTAGCTAGATCTTGGCTCCTAGGTGGAATTCTTCAACCTCCATTTATCTCCACCTCCTATTGATTCTCTCCTAAAAATAAAATATTCACCTAACAATTTCCTAAAGCATTTTTCCACCCTCACTTTATCAGGTAAGGATTTCGATTAATATATACCATAATGAAGAGAACAGTGACTTGGACGATTAGAATTCGATGAGAATATACTCATGGATTGGGGGGGCGGGGGGGCCTGTGCACACAGCAGGCAGGATTTTCACATTTCCACCATAAACCCACCACAGGTTATTTAGGTTCCATTCCCTGCCGCTTCTGGTTCACGTGGCATTTTCTTCTGCTTGAAGTAGCATCTTCAACTGCCCCCTGCCTCTGACAATTAGGCATGAAAGGGCCAGAGAAAACAGGCTCCACAGGACCTTCGCCACTCAGAGCCCCCTAGTGCTCATCAGGGAGCTGCTAGAAAAGACGGCCTGAGATTTAACGCCTCCGGAAATAAGCAACTTCTCAGGAGCCTCTCCTGCACCTGACTCTTCGGGGAAAATTACTCTACCTGAAGACTTGGGGTTCGCTCCTAGAAACCAGTTGTTAAGTCAAGGCAGGCCTCCTTGTTGTCGTGGCATTACCAACCGTAGGGTCTACTTCCTGGGAAGTCCGTTGTGCAGAAGCAATGAGGAAGAATTGAGAAAAGCCTATAATATAATTAGGCGACTTTCAAGGTCTGGAAAATGGCACAGTAGTGGAAGCATTGAGAAAGGGATGTGAATACTATACTTGCCAGAAAGAGAGGGACAGAAAGTACCATCTTCCCTGAGAAAATATCCCCCATGAAAGAGTCACCACACTAGCATGTGGTGAACTGTGGGAACTACCAGGTATGCTGACCCTCCTCTCCCCCGGCGCTGCCACCATGGGTGGGGAGGTGATGGAGACCCTCCTGCACAGTGTAAAAAGTTAGGTCAAACCAAAGATTGCCTCAAGTGTTTCTGAGTGGTATGAACTATTTTATGTTTAATTTATCATCATCTTTGTCATGATCACCATCATCACCATCACCAGCAGCAGCAGCATTGTCACAATCATCATCACCATCATCTTTATCATCGTCATGTTCATCGCCATCCCCATCATCATCCCCATTACCACCCTATCATTACTATCATCATCGTCATCACCACCATCACCTTCAGCATGGTCACCATCGTGATAATCACCATCATCTCTACCTTCATCATCTTCATCAGCATTGTCACCATCACCATCACCGTCATTGTCATGATTCATGGTTCCATTTAGAGATGCAAAGAAGAGTTTTGTGCTCTACTGGGTGAGGGCTGGGTGTTCCTTGCTGTGCCCACCCAGGCTCGGTCTCTCACCTTGGTCCTTCCTTCTGTGGGTAACTCACAAACCAATCCAAATTGGATCTCACCAAGTACTCAATTGGTAGCAGGATCAAAAAGCAATCTGAAACCTCTCAAAAGTTTACTTTCTCTGAGGAGTATGGCAATCTTTCTTCCCAAGAGATGGCCTTGTGTACTTTGGATATGTAATAAAAGAACTTTAGTTCTTAGAAACAATGAGAAAACATACTGCAAGTTACTTTGAGATCTGTAAGAGGAGGCGCCCACACAAACCCACATGTTATTTATTATTTGATGCCTTCAGTAAGGGTAATTGAGATAGAAATCCCATCTCCATAACTTCTAAAACAAAAATTTAAGCTTTTTAAAGAAAGTGTCTATTATCTATCCATGTCCTCACACGTAAGTACACGTTGAAATCACTGTACTATACTATTTTATATATAATTTGTATGCAAAGCAGTTAACCATTTCCATATTACGGTATATCCAGACTTAATGTATAGAATTTTTTAAAGAAAAAATAAATATAATCTTTTCTTTGTGCATGCTAGTTCTCCAAATAACTGTGTATGCACGCATGTATGCATGTGTGTGTGCATGTGTGTGTGCGCGCGCGCGTGTGTGTAGAGGTCTCTGCAAAGAAAAGGCATAAGAAGGCTAAACGTAAACGTTAGGACCCATAGGGACCCACCTGCAGGCTCCGTCCAGTCATTCAGGGCACAGCAGAGCCTGCCTGGCACAGCCCAGCCCTCCGGTAATAACCAGCACTACGCAGACACGTGTCCCGTCTCATTTCACCTCCACAGCCTAGGAGGTAGGCACCATTATTACCCCAACTTTAATATGAAGTAACTGTGTCACCATGGTTTTAAGCAATTTTCCCAATGTGACACAGCTAGGAAACAACAGAGCCAAGATGAAAATGCAGACCAGGGTGCGCAGACCACAGCCTTCGGGCTAACTCCCCCCCACTACCTTCTCCGTGTGACCGTGAACTAAGCATGGTTCTACATCCTTAGATGGCTGAAAGGGTGATAGGGTAATGCTTCATGTGACGATGACGTGGAACTCAAGCCTCTGTTAACAGTGGGTGGGAAGGCAGCCCCCGCTAGGCTGGCTGTGCTGCGCGGCTGTGACCAATGGCCGCGAGGCCGAGACACTGGTGTTGGGCCGTTACCAGGAGGTGGCCGGCCGTCCTGGCTGAGGTGCTCTAGAGCCCAGCTCGTCACCTTGTCGCTGTTGGGAAGAAGTTCCTCCTGCCCCGGCGCCCACGTGTGCTTCCCTGTCCTAACACACTGGCGGTGGCATGTGAGATGTTTGTGGGTGCACTCCCCCCCCCCTTCCTAGCTGGGAGCCTGTGTGTCCAGGCAAACGGTCCCAGCACTTCTCACACCACCTCTTGTCTCCTAGTGACCAGCAGCAAACACCTCGTCAGGAAGTTCCGCGGACACCTGCGCACGAAGATTGAGTCCGGGGAGGGGACTGTGCCGGTCCGCGGCCCCAGCGCGGTGCAGACCTGGGACGGCATCCTGCTGGGTGAGCAGCTCATCACCATGTCCTGCACGGACAAGATTGCCAGGTAACTGCCCCTCTGGCAGCCTGAGTGACAGTGGGCACAGGGAGCGCCCCCAGGTGAGGGCCTGTCCCTCCCTCACAGCCGTGAGGGTGCCCTGAGCGAGTACACACCTGGCAAGCCCACGCTGCCGCTGCAAACACCGCAAAGACACAGGGCTGGTGCAGGTCCCTGGCTGACGGGCTGGGCTCCTCCAGGCTCATGCAATGATCAGGAGGCCAGTCAAGCCGTCCCGCTCAGCCGCCTGTGCTCAGCACCCCAGGCACCTCAACCCCCCAGACACCCAGTCCCACCTCGCCTCACACACATGCAGCCCTCCTGGGACACCCTGTACCCCACAGTGTGGGGAATGCCCTGTGAGGTGCTGAACATCCCTGAAACCTGGCAAACTTTCAAGAAGACGTGTACACCAGTGCCTCCCATGCCAGGAGATGGTCTCCTTTCTGAAGGTGTCCTCAGAGGGCGCCACCTGGAGGTCCTCCAGGGAACCTCAGCCCGGCCAGCTGGGGAGAGGGACTTGCGGAGAAGGCACTGGGCAGCCCCGAAAGGTGCCCTGTCCTCAGCAGATGCTCCTTGATCACCACGGACAGAAGCTTCCAGGAGTGGACAGCCACTCCCCGCCCTCCTCTCCAGAGCCCCCAGGCAGGCCACCCCACCTGGAGCACTGCTGTGACTTCATGTGGACAGTAGGCCCTGCACCCTGGGGAGAGTCGGACGTCCCTGACAGCTGCCCCCAAAGGTGATGACAGTGAAAAACCTATGTTAACAGTAAATCAGAACTGCTTTGGGAAACTTGGATAGATTCACTATTCTGCAATCTATCCACCAAGTAAAAACCGTGCATTCTCACCAACGGTGGTCCCAGTGGCAGCCACGTGGCTCCCAGGATGTTCCACGTGGAAAGCTCGGGGGTCAAACTCTCAGCCGATAAGAAGTCCGGTCTCGTGTTCAGGGAGAGTGAGGTGGGGGAAGGATGCCAGAGCAGCATCTCAAACCCCTACCCACGGGAGGACTGGGTGGGTGTGAGGGTGGCAGGGTGCCCACAGCACCCAGGCCATGGGCACTGTTCCACGCGTGGTTTCAGCACGTGGACGCCCACAGGGGGGATCGTCTGTCCTGCCGTCACTCAGACAGTACCTTACACAGGCGTTTCCCACTGCTCCGCACACACGTGCCGGGGGTTGAAGGGCTTCTTTACCTGTCATAACTCCAACTATTCATCCACTAGCCACCTTGCTCCTGCAGAGACAGCAGACAGTGAGAGGTGGCAGGGTCAGGGGTTCCTCCACGGACTCAGGGGACCAGGGCAGCCAGAGCCCCCAGGTGGCCCCACAGGCTCCAGGGGAGGGCCAGGCCCAGCCGCTGCGGACCGTGCGAGGGCCCCGCCCTCTCGGGCCTCCCTTCCCTGCTCTCAGCACTACCGGCAGATAAAAGCTCAGCCCCTGAACACAGGGCCCGAGTTCTCAGAGGAATCACCAAACGGCTGCAGGAGAAATAGGGCCATTTGCTTCCCAGGTTGATAGCACCTGGCCCGGAGAGGGAGCCGGTCAGCCTAATGACACTGAATCAAAGCACTGATTTCGCATCAAAGGAGCAGCCGCTGCCTCAACCAGCCCGTCTTTCAGAAAAGGACGTGTTCCTCCTTAGTGATATTTTCACTGTTCACAAAGCAGGGAAAAGGAGCAATTTTCACCTCAACCGAAATCCTCTCTGTACCATTCTAAATTAACCCTCTGACTCCCTGGGAAAATGAAGGAATTAATGCTGCAACATGGAAATTTTATTGTCTCTGGGATCGTAAATGTCAATAGACAGCAAATTAAACGCGGCTACAAAACCCATATGACGCTGGTCGTCGGCAGGTTTGCCGACGGTGATGCAGCTGCTCGAAGTCAGATTCTGTTCTTTCTAATAAAATCTATTTAACAAGAACTACCAGAAGAACAAAGTCCACGTTGCACCCCCTCCAGAAGCTTCCAAACAGTGTTGGAAATGGAGAAAGACTATCCCGGCTTTCTGTGACCTGGCTCTGGGCTGTTGGGGGGCAGGCTCTCCCTAATGGACCCAGGAATCCATCTACAAGTGCCAGGTGGATCCTACTCTGTAGGGGTCTCTCACCCACCCAGCTCCAGACCCCAAATCTGCTGGTGACACCACCCAAAGGCACCGTGGGGTAGGGAGGAGCCCTGGAGAAGGTGCTGGTGCCAAGTTCCCTCTTCCTCTCACTCAGGCCCCTTAGGGCCTCCCCTTCCTCATGCTTTCTTTTTGTTTTCTCCTTCACCCTCTTCCTTTCCCCTGTCTCTGTCATACCGTCTCTCTGTGTGTGTCTCTCTCTGTCCTTCTGTCTCTGTCTGTCTCTCTCTGTATCTATCTATGTCTGTCTCTCTCAGCCTGCCTCTGTCTTTCTGTCTCTGCCTATTTGTTTCAGTCTCTTTGTCTCTCTGTTCTGTCTCTGTCTCTCTATTCTCCATCTCTGTCTTTCTGTCTCTGTGTCTCTGTCTCTGCCACCCCATCTCTTCCCTGGACATGCCACCATCTCTGCCTCCTCTCATACTTCTTGCTCACACTGATGGCCTCCCACCACCCACCCCTCCAGGGCCTTTCCCTGCACAGACCCGTCCCCACCTGCTGACACGACAGGGACTCCTTGTACTCGGCACCGTCTGCTTCTGCGTCTGAAGGGGTCCTTGTGTCACAGTGAGGTGCATGTGTGCCTCCCCAGTAACACTGTTGGTGACGAGGAGGGGGAGGGGCGATGAGGGAGAAGAAGGCGAAATGCCACCAGTGGCCTCGCGGCCCTGTCTGCGCCAGGCCAGGGCCGCTGGCAGCCTCCTCACCTCTGGCGCGGCGCTGTCTGTGCCCCACCGGAATCGAACCGGCCCGCGGAGAGGAAGCAGCACTGAGCTGCTTTCAAACAGAGCTATTGCCGCCTTTGAGCGGGAGCATATGTTATGCTAATGGTCCCGACCACAGGCATCTGCGGCGTACATCCTCTGTGCACAGGCTTCACGAAGAGGCCGTCTGAGGCCGTGCGTTCATCTGTCCTCTGTCCTGTGCAGAAACAGAAGCTAAGCCTAGGGTTTAGGCCATGTTCCAAATAAAAGACTCTGCACACAAACACAGATGAAATATTCCAGTTCAACAAGCAGAGGCTGGAGGACACAAAGAGGTGAGAGTCCCAGTCCCTCCTTCCAGAGGTTCTATCATGGTAGCAGGACACGCTTGGCTATAAAACCCACAACCAGCATGCACTGTGCCCAGCACGGTCATGCTGGAGCCAACTCAGCCCGCCTGAGTGGGTTACGTTAAGGCAGTTGTTAAACACAGCCATTATTAAAAATTAAACTACATAAACTTACAACTAAATGCATTAGATTAAAACAAAGGCAATGAACACTCAAAACTCATCACTTTCCTAATTATTTTACTACTTGTTACTATTATTTTTGCCCTTGAAGTTATTAACACCTACTGTATCTGCAAAGTGAGGTGTGTGCTACTGCTCACCTCGACCCGCATCTGCGCCCACTGACATCACGCTGGTCACTCGAATTCAGTCACAGGGATGGCATTTACACCATGTAAATGTGCAAAACCTAAGAATCCGTGCCCTTTTGTTTGAGAGCCAACCGTTACCCACCTATCACTAAACATCAGAGTCACAAGAGGTCTTCAACTTGTGTGCACAGGTCTGGAAATAACGTGTCCGAGGCGGGCCCCGCCGCCTGTCCTCTCAGGAGGCAGTGACTTCACGCATCAGGGGCCCGGGCTCGGTGTGCGTGAGGGCAGAAGATGGGCGGACACTGGGACTAGACAGACGAGACCCTTTCAACTCACAGACTTGAGAAACCAGCCGTAGCCCCTCCGGAATGGCCCATGCCCTGCCTCTGTGGGAAAACAGAAGCCACAGTGAAACCTACCTCCACTCCGCTCTCCTTCTGGGGACGCCCATCATCCCATTCCTTGTCTTCTGGCTCAGCCCAGGCCTCTGCTCTCCGGGCCCCTCCACATGCCTCCTACCGCCCCTGCGTCCTCTGCCTTTGTCGTCCCACCAGCTCATCTTTCTCATCTTTCGAAGTTAACCCCGAAGCCCGCGTGCTCCTAGAACTGCAGCCGCAGCTTCCCTCTTCCCCGGTCTCCGGAGAGAACCGTCCATGCCCACAGGCCTCTCCGTAGGCATCCGGCCTCAGTCCACACCGCTGGGCAAAGCTGCGCTCGCTGAGATAATAAGGGGGTCACTGTCCTCCTCCCAGTCCCCTCGGACGTGTCACCCCCTCACTGTCCTGCCCCGGGACAGGCCCCAGTGCCTGGTCACCAAGATGAGAGGCTCAGGATTCTACCCAGCGTTGAGCAGTCCACCCACCCACCCGAGCTCGGGGCCGCCCTCCCCCTGAAGTGACGGCATTCTCCAGGTCACATGTCCCACCAGTACCTTTCACACAGGGACACAGCGAGTGCTGGCCGAGGAAACGAGCAGTGGGCAGCGGACACAGGAAAGGGGGGATGAAAAGCTGTCCTGACGTGTGGCCACAATGGCACTTTACCCCCACAGCCGTGTTTCGACACTGTCGAGGGGGCAGATGGAGCCCAGTGCTGGCAGGGGCTGACCGCTCACAGCTGTCCTTATTCCGAGGTGACACTAGCCGTCGAGACTGCCGCCCACCTGTGAGCGAGTATGCGGAATCGAGGCCTGTGCCGCTCACGGAGGGCGAGGTGACACCAGGGAAGACAGAGGCCCTTTCTGACCTTCAGTCGTACCTTCTGATGGATGCACCAGCGGCTGTACTCGGCACCCCTCACACGAGACAAAGGCTGTGTGGATGGCTGGCACCCGGGAAATACTGGGTGATGAAGCCTCTCTCGTCAGAATGGCTGTGATGTGAACCATGAACAGTGTAGGGACAGAGCCCCGCCGAAACGGAGCGGCAGCCCCCACCCCCACCCCGGCGCCCGTGCAGGCGGCTCGGATAAGTGAAAGCGGTGTCCTGTGCCAACACCCTGATCCG